GGAAGATCATTTGAGGCCAGGAGTTTGAGACTAGCCTAGGCAAACTACAGCATGGTGGCACATGCCTGTAGTGTGACCCTGTCTCTACAAAAATGTTAAAAATAGTTGGGCATGGAGGCACACACCTGTAGTCCTAGCCACTCAGGAGGCTAAGGTGGGAGGACTGCTTGAGCCAAGGAGTTTGAGGCTACCGTGAGCTATGATTGCCCCCCTGCATCCCAGCGTGGGTGGCAGAGCAAAACCTTGTCTCTAAAATAATAATTTTCAAAAAAAATTTTTAATAGCTCAAATTAATGGGGAAGGTGGAGGTATGCTGAAAGCCTACAACAAGGACCACACACCACAGAAGCCCAAGGCTCATGAGGATGGGAACGGAGTTATGCACTAAGAGAGGTGACCCTGGCCATCCACTTCTCATGGAACCTCATGGTCTTGCCGTGGCGCCGCTCAGCAGACCAGCTTCCTCTGCTTGCTTATTTCTTCTCTGCCCTGATAGTCTTGACCTACCTGCACGTCTCTTCACCCTGGCTCAGCTCCAACATCCGTGGCTACATCAATGCTACCTTTTAGCTCAATTGCCCCCAGCACACCCACCCATCCCACCATATATGAAATCGCCAGGTCCAGGAATTTGTCCGTGGCTAAAGAAGAACATCTCATAATAATAAAATGGTCAATCCACTGGGAAGCTATAAGAGTTATAAGCATATGCACCTAGCACAGAGCCCCAGATACATGAAGCAAAGACGGACAGAACTGGAGGGATAGACAATTCAACAATAAGAGTTGAAGACATTATTACTCTACTTTCAATAATGGATAGAACAACTAGGCAGAAGATCAACAAAAAAGAGACTTGCACAACACTATAAACAAACCAGACCTGGCTGGGCGCAGTGGCTCACGCCTGTAATTCCAGCACTTTGGGGGGGCTGAGGCAGGCAGATCACTTGAGATAAGGAATTTGAGACCAGCCTGACCAACGTGGTGAAACCCTGTCTCTACTAAAAATACAAAAATTAGCCAGACATGCTTGCTGGAACCCAGGAAGCAGAAGTTGCAGTGAGCCAAGATTGCACCACTGCACTCCAGCCTGGGCGACAAGAGGGAGGCTCTGTCAAAAAAAAAAAAAAAAAAAAAACACGCGCGCACACACACACACACACTAGACCTAACAGACATCTGTAGTACACACCATCTGACAGCAGCAGAATAATACATTAATCTATGAACTACGTTCCTCCCTAAGTTAGTTTGGCCTCTGCCCAGGAATGAACAAGGACAACCTGGAGGTTAGAAGCAAGATGGAGTTGGTTAGGTCAGATCTCTTTCACTGTCAGAATTTTCTGTTATAATTTTTGCAAATTATATATTTTGCAAATTATATAAAAAAAGGGAGGAGATATAATTTTAGCTACTCCCTTACAAATGTAGAAAAAGAAGAGCAAACTAAACCTAAAGCAAGGAAAATAAAGGAATAATCAAGACTAGAGCAGAAGCAAATGAACCTGAGAAAAGGAATACAGAAAATTAATGAAACCAAAAGTTGGTTCTTTGATATGGCAACAAAATAAGAGAGAAGATGCCAATTACTAAAATCAGAAATGAAAGAGGAGAAATTATAACTGAACTGACAGATATAAAAAGAATTATGAAGGGAACTATGAGCAATTACCAATAAATTAGATAACTTAGATATAATGATATAATGGACAAATTCCTGGAAACACACAAACTACTATAACTGGCTCAAGACTCACAGAAAATATGAACAGACCTGTAATAAGGAGACTGAATTTGTAAAAATAATAATCCACAAAGAAAACCCAGACCCAGATGTATTCACTTGTAAGTTCTACCAAACAAATGAAAAATACCAATTCTTAAAAGCCTCTTCCAAAAAGCAGAAGAGGAAGAAACACTTCCTAATTCACTCTGTGAAGCCAATATTAAATCCAGACAATGACATTACAGGAAAAGAAATACCCTGATATATCCTGATAGCAAAACCAGACAATGACATCACAGGAAAACAAAACTCCAGACCTATATCTCTTATGAATATGAATGCAAAAATCCTATTTTTAAAAACTAGCTAATTGAATCCAGCAATGTATCAAAATAATTATACACCATGACTATGTGGGATTTATGCCAGGAATACAAGGTTGGTTTAACATCTGAAAGTCAGGTAATGTAACCATATCAATAGAATAAAAAACAAAAACCACATGGCAGCCTCAATAAATGCAGGAAAAGCATCTGACAAAATCAAGAACCCTTTCAGGACAAAAACATTCAACAAACCAAGAAGGTAAGAAAACTTCCTCAACTTGATAAAGGACATCGATTTTACAAACAAAAGCAAAAGCCTAGAGCTAATGTCATACTTGACAGTGAAAGATTGGATGCCTTCCGCTAACATCAGTAACAAAACAAGGATTCCTGCTGTCAACACTTCTATCCAACATTGTACTGGAGGTTTTAGCAAGAGCAATTAGACAAGAAAGAGAAATAAAAGGCACCCAGATTGGAAAGAGAGAAATAAAACTATCTTCATCTGCAAATGACATGATCTTATATCTAGGATATAAGATATCTACTAATAAACTATCAGAACTAATAAATGATTTCACAAGGTTGCACAACACAAGATCAATACACAAAAATAAATTATGTATCTATAGACCAGCAATGAATATTCCGCAGATGAAATTAAGAAAACAGCTCCCCTTTATAATGTCATCAAAAATAATGAAATACTTAGGAATATATTTAACAAAATAAGTGCAAGACTTGTACACTGAGAACTATGAAACATTGCTGAAAGAAATTAAAGATTTAAAGAAAGACATCCCTACATTCATAAATCAGAAGATTTAATATTGTTAGGTAGCAGTACTCCCCAAATTGATCTACATATTCAGCAGATTCACTACGAAAATACCAACTGCCTTTTTTGCAGAAATTCACAGCCTAATCCTAAAATTCATAAGAATGGTAAAAGGCACCTAATAGCCAAAACAATCTTGAAAAAGAATAACGTTGGGAGACTCATACTTCCCAACTTCAAGACTACTACAAATCTACAGATCTTCAGTAATCACGACAGTGTAGTGCTAGCATGAGGATAGACATATAGATCAATGAAATAGAATTCACAGTGCAAAACCAAATGTTTACATTTATGGTCAGTTGATTCTCAACAAGGGTAGCAAGATCATCCAATGAGGAAAGAATAATCTTTTCAAACAAACTGTGCTTAGACAACTGGACATCCACACATAAAAGAATGCAGTTGGACCCCTACCTCATACCATACACAAGAATTAACTCAAAATGGATCATAATTCTCAATGTAAGAGGTAAGGTATAATATTCAAAGGAAAAAAACAGGAGTTAGTCTTCATCATCTTGAGGTAGACAATGGTGTTTTGGACACATGCCGTGAGCACAAATGAAAGAAAAAATAAATAAATTAGACTACCTCAAAATTTAAAGCTTTTGTGCTACAAACAATGCCTTTAAGAAACTGAAAAGACACCTGACAGAATGGGAGAAAATATTTGCAAGTCATATATCTGATGAGCGGCTTTCATCCAGAATACATAACAAAATCCTACAACCCAATAATAAAAAAACAAACAACACAATTTTAAAATGGGCAAAGGATTTAAATAGACATCTCTCAATACACAAATGGCCAGTATGCCCATGGAAAGATGCTCAACATTGTTTGTCATTAGGGAAATGCAAATCAAAACCACAATGAGATGCTACTTCACACTCAGTAGGAGAGTGGTAATAAAAAAGGCAGACAATAACAAGTGTTAGCAAGAATATGGAGAAATTAAAATCCTCATGGCTTGCTGGTGGCAATGTAAAATGATGCAGCTGCTTTGGAAAACAGTTTGGCAGTTCCTCAAAATGTTAAATATAGAGTTGCCATATGGCCTAGCAATTCCACTCCTATGTATCTACCCAAGGGAAATAAAAACATACAGTCACACAAAAACTGGTACATGATGTTCATAGCAGCATCGTTCATAGTAGACAAAAGGTAGAAACAATGCAAATGTCTGTTCATCAGTGAATAAACAGACAAGCAAAATGTGGCATGTCCACGCAATGAAAAATCATTGAGCAATTTAAAATAAATGAAGTTCTGATACATGTTACAACTGGAAAAACCTTGAAAACTTGCTAAGTGAAAGAAGCCAGCCATGAAATACCATAAATTGTAGTATTTCACTTGTATAAAATGTACAGAAAAGGCAGATCTATACAGACAGAAGGTAGATAAGTGGTTGTACAAGGCTGGAGGGGCAGGTATTAGAGGGAAATTGAGAGTGGCTAATAAAGGGTGAGAAACTTCTTTTTGAAATGATGGAAATATTTTTGAATTGATGGTGGTGATGGCTGCACAACTCTGTGAATATACTAAAATCATTGAATTGTACACATTAAAAACATAACTTGTATGGTATGTGAATTATATCACAATAAAGCTGTTTTTTAAAAATGAATGGTTTGATCTACATGTATCCACATAGATAAATCTAAAAAAAAAAAAAATGTGGTAGAACAAGCATGTTGAAAAAGGAAACATGCAGCAGGACACCATTTATGTGAAATTTTAAAACAAAAACCAATAGTATATATTGTTTAGGGAACTATACATTTTTAGTAAGACATTAAAAACTTGGATGGAAAGGGCAGACTCCAACTGCAGGATTTTCCCTCTCTGCCTTATAAATAATCTTTTAGAAATTTTATGGCCTAAATTTCCATTGTCTATGTTTAGTATATAAGAAAATACATGTTTTTATATTCATACCCCCTTTCTTAGATAAAAGCTAAAATGCCATATATACTTTACTGTACAGGACTTTTTTTTTTTTTTAACTTAACAATATATTCTAGAGATCACTCCAGAGGAGTTTATAGAGCTGTTCTGGTGAGACTCTTTTATTAATCTTGTTGGGGTTTATGTCCAAAAGGAGGAGGGCCAGAGATGGATGACTACATGGAGACGCTGAAGGATGAGGAGGACGCCTTGTGGGAGAATGTGGAGTGTAACCGGCACATGCTCAGCCGCTACATCAACCCCGCCAAGCTCACGCCCTACCTGCGTCAGTGTAAGGTCATTGATGAGCAGGATGAAGATGAAGTGCTTAATGCTCCCATGCTGCCATCCAAGATCAACCGGGCAGGTAACCTTAGGACCTCTTTGTGGGAGTGGGAGGGTTACCACACACGGCAACTTCCAGACATACCCTTTGGTAGCTATTCTAGGTCAGGGATTTTTCAACTGAGGTCCACAGACCCACCCATCTGTGTATAGAGCTCAAACTGTCTCTGTATATGACTCAAAGGATCCATAAACTGGGAGGGGAAAGAAGTGACATCTTTATTTTACCAGCCTCAACTGCAATTTAGCATTGCCTTCAACTGCAAATGTCAGGAAGCCACAAATTACAGTCGTGATTAGTAATTCCTCTGACTTAGGCAAAAATGAAAATTACAGATCTCTCCATATCACTACAGCTATTGCAGATCTCTCAAAATACCATTTACACTCATCTCTCTTTGAAAATTACAGTGCTAATTAGACCTGTCAAGGGGGTCTTATTTAATGCATTGATAAAGAAGTATGTTTATTACTGAAACACAAATTTATTTAACATTTGATAAATGGATTTTATTACAATTGGCTTCTTTTGTAATCTGATATACTTTATCTGTTTAAAAATGTTCTGCGAAGGGGTCCACAGGCTTTTCTAGCCTGACTTTGGGGTTGGGGGGCAGTGGGTATGACACTTTACCATATTCAGTAAAGGTAATAAATATAGTTTGTGAAGCTTGTTTTAATTTTATATCATGTACATGTGTGTACACATGTATTTGTAGACTTATCTTTGTTTATGGTCACTAGGCCACAATGTTAAATGTTTTTCTTTCTGTGGATTAGTTTAAAAGGTTTGAGAATCGCTGTCCCCCAGCGTGGCTGGTGGTAAGTAGCTCATCAGCTGCGACTCTCTGGCATCCATGGCAGACATCACTAATCAGCACGCTTTCCCACTGAGCCTGGATGTAACTTTGGAATGTTTCTCAAAACAGTGCTCCAGACAGCTTCACCAAACAACCAGGGTTGACATATCATAATTTTTATTTCTTCAGTCTGTCCTAGGGAAAAGGTAGAGTTTTAAGACCTACCTTTCTTCTTCTGTATTTCAGAAGAAATATCTGAAAATAAAATGTTTAAGAAAGGACCCAACAATGTAAGCAATAAGTGGAATTGGTAGCAGAGAAAGTGGAACCTGCTGGAAGAATTACATTTAGGTTAAAGATGTTTCCAGGTTGTGTAGTAATCCCAAAGAAAAACTTAGAACTATTCCTGCTTCCTATTTTCCTAGCCCTTCACCCAAGTATGTCTTCCTGCTCTCACTCCCAGATAACCACATTTCATTCCATAATTTTTATCATGCTTCCAATCTCCCTCAGTCACAGAAGAGCTGGTGCCTACATGGTTCATTTTGGCCCTGGTCAGTTGGGAAGCTCTTCAAAACTGGGGTGGCAATTCCATTTATCTTGGTTCTACCAATTTATTAAAAAAAGAAAACAAATGCTCACCGAATCCCTGCAGAGGGCCTGGCACTTCGATTTATATCTTCTGGGCTCCAAGATACAACTCAGATGTGATAGAACGTGGGGGGACTGTCTTCTTAGAGTTGATTGAGGGACACAAGTCCAGGATGAGACCAGCCACAGAGACTTGGATTCCATCAGAGATGTATTCTCACAGAGTGATCTGGTCTTTCCCCAGGCCGGTTATTGGACATTCTGCATACCAAGGGGCAAAGGGGCTATGTGGTCTTCTTGGAGAGCCTGGAATTTTATTACCCAGAGCTGTACAAACTGGTGACTGGGAAAGAGCCCACCCGGAGATTCTCCACCATTGTGGGTAAGTGCTTTTGTCATTGGGAACATCTGGACGCTAATAGGAGGGGGTGTGTGTGTGTGCGTGTGTGCGTGCGTGCGTGCGTGCGTGTGTAGTGGCATGGTTCTAACACTGTGAATCCATGACATGTAGAACTGGGGTCTGTCAACTGTCAACAATTTATTTTGCTTTATGATGAAAGACAGGTGACAGGGGGCAAAGTGAAGCAGGAGCCAAGAGAAGTGGGTGTTCACAGATCATCCCCCATTAATGGCACCGAGGTGGAACAGAAGTTCACCCTACCCTGCAGATCTTGTCCTTGCCTTGGCCTCATTCTTTCAAGTGTCTCATGGACCAGAGCCCTTGAGCATCTTGCCTTCATCTTCCTTTCTAAACATTCTTGAATCAGTCTTCTCTCCCTCCCCAACACTTCCTACAGCCCAGACTCCCACAACCCTGTCAACTCCCTATATTCATTCCCGATCTGTGTCAGTCAGTGCTTTCTCCATTCTTCCTCCCCTATTTCAAACCCTTTGGTGGTTTTTCATTGTTTCTTTGTAAACACCCAGGTCTTGGCCAGGCACAGTGGCTCATGCCTGAAATTCCAATGCTTTTGGAAGCTGCAGCCATAGAATTGCTTGGGCCCAGGAGTTCAAGGCTGCAATAAGCTATGATCATGCCCCTGTACAACTCCAGCCTGACTGAGTGAGACCCTGTCTCAAAAAATTAAAAAAAAAAATTTTTTTGAGACAAAGTCTCGCTCTGTCGCCAGACTGGAATACAGTTGTGCAATCTCGGCTCACTGCAACCTCCATCTCCCAGGTTTAAGTTATTCTCCTGCCTCAGCCTCCCAAGTAGCTGGGACTACAGGTGCACACCACCACGTCCAGCTAACTTTTTGTATTTTTAGTAGAGATGGGATTTCACCATGTTGGCTAGGATGGCCTCCAACTCCTGACCTCGTGATCCACCCACCTTGGCCTCCCAAAGTGCTGGGATTACAGACATGAGCCACTGCACCCGGCCAAGACCCAGGACCCTTCATGGTCCAGCCCCGCTGACACCTCCGGCATCGCCTTTCTCTTCTGTCTCTCTCCTTCAGCCACCTTGGTCTTCCTTCAGTTCCTGAAATATGCCAAGTTCCTCCTGCCTCCCCATATGGCCTTGGCAATGCTGTTATTTCCTAGAATGCCTTTTCCCTCCTGAACTTAACATTTTAGCTCAACCATCAGGAGCCTTCTCCAACCCCTTCTGCCCATGAGGCTGCATCTGGGCCCCTGCTACACACTCTCATAGCCCCATCTACCTTTACTTTGTGAAATTATCACGGTCTGTAATTGTTTGTGATAATCATTTGATTTTTTTTTTAAATGTCTTTCTCTTATTATACCTTAAGCTCTCCCGGGGCCAAGGCTGTGAGTCTTGCTCCCTCTGAATCCCCAGTGCCTCTCGGGGAGAGTGAGTAAGAGCTCGGTACAACATTGGTGAGTTGAGTGAGTGAATGAATGGCACCTGCCCTGCGTCTGGAACCTCCTTTTTCCCCTTCCCAGTCCTCAGGCCTGACTGGGTGCCCCCTCTCCACAGTGGAGGAGGGCCACGAGGGCCTCACGCACTTCCTGATGAACGAGGTCATCAAGCTGCAGCAGCAGATGAAGGCCAAGGACCTGCAGCGATGCGAGCTGCTGGCCAGGTTGCGGCAGCTGGAGGATGAAAAGAAGCAGATGACGCTGACGCGCATGGAGCTGCTGACCTTCCAGGAGCGCTACTACAAGATGAAGGAAGAGCGGGACAGCTACAATGATGAGCTGGTCAAGGTGAAAGACGACAATTACAACTTAGCCATGCGTTACGCACAGCTCAGTGAGGAGAAGAACATGGCGGTCATGAGGAGCCGAGACCTCCAACTCGAGGTGAGGGGTGCCCAAGGGTTACTCCACCAGGATGAGCCAGGGGAAAACAAATGTCACCGGGGCTCAAGTCCCCCATAAAGCAGATGCAGGCACGTGCACATGGTCTGCCAGAGCTCCCTGCCCAGGCAGGTGAGAGGAAATGAAGGACACAGGGCCTCTGGGGTTCCTAGGTCTGCCATGCGCCTGTGCATGTACCCATAGTGCTTAGCGCTACCGGTTCGGCTGCCTACATCGCCTATGCGCATGGGCAGACATGCGCACAAGGACTGACCCAGTGCGGCTTTCCACCGCCTGCTCGGGCCCAGACCGACCTTGCCATGCGCAGGCAGACCCGGTAGGGCTCCCAGAATGGCTCGCTCCGCGAATGAGTTAAAGAGATCTGCATCTTTCTTTTTTCATTTCTTTTTTTCTTTTCTCTTCTTTTTTCCTTTTTTTTCTTTAATTTTTCTTTCTTTCCTTTTCTTTTCCTCCCTCCCTTCCTTCCTTCCTCCCTCCTTCCTTCCTAACTTTTCCTTCCTTCCTCTCTCCCTTTTCTTGCCTCCTTCCTCCCTTCCTCTCTCTTTTCCTTCCTTCCTCCTTCCTTCCTTTTCTTTCTTTCTATTTTTTTTGAGACAGGGCCTTCCACTGCCCAGGCAGCAGTGGTGCAATCATGGCTTACTGCAGCCTTGACCTCCTAGACTCAAGCTATTCTCCTGTCTCAGCCTCCAAAGTCACTGGGACTGCAGGTACCAGGCTATTCTTTTTTCTTTTTTCTTTTTTCTTTTTTTTTTTTCAGATTTTTTATTTTTTTATTTGTTATTTTTTATTTTTTTCCCCCATTTATTTATTTTATTGCATTTTAGGTTTTGGGGTACATGTGAAGAACATGCAAAATTGTTGCATAGGTACACACGTGGCAGTGTGATTTGCTGCCTTCCTCCCCATCACCAACATCTGGCAT